GCACTTTTTCAGTTCCCCGTCCTTTGACCTTGAATTTGACCTTGAAGTTTGACCTTGATGAAAATGGTTTTCGATGTGCGGCTAGAACTTTGCACGCGCTACATTTTGGTGCCAAAATTTTGAAAATCGGACAATATTTAGTGGCACTTTTTCAGTTCCCCGTCCTTTGACCTTGAATTTGACCTTGAAGTTTGACCTTGATGAAAATGGTTTTCGATGTGCGGCTAGAACTTTGCACGCGCTACATTTTGGTGCCAAAATTTTGAAAATCGGACAATATTTAGTGGAACTTTTTCAGTTCCCCGTCCTTTGACCTTGAATTTGACCTTGAAGTTTGACCTTGATGAAAATGGTTTTCGATGTGCGGCTAGTACTTTGCACGCGCTACATTTTGGTGCCAAAATTTTGAAAATCGGACAATATTTAGTGGCACTTTTTCAGTTCCCCGTCCTTTGACCTTGAATTTGACCTTGAAGGTCAAGGTTTAGGGGTGAATGGGTTCGATTTTCGTGATCCTCATAGTCCAATTGACCTTGGACGAGGTTTTGGCTAAAATCGGTGCTCGTCGCTGGAAAAGTCGCTGGTGACGTAGCATTTTTAAAGTTCCCCGTTCTTTGACCTTGAATTTGACCTTGAAGTTTGACCTTGATGAAAATGGTTTTCGATGTGCGGCTAGAACTTTGCACGCGCTACATTTTGGTGCCAAAATTTTGAAGATCGGACAATATTTAGTGGCACTTTTTCAGTTCCCCGTCCTTTGACCTTGAATTTGACCTTGAAGTTTGACCTTGATGAAAATGGTTTTCGATGTGCGGCTAGAACTTTGCACGCGCTACATTTTGGTGCCAAAATGTTGAAATTCAGACAACATTTAGTAGCACCTTTTCAGTTCCCCGTCCTTTGACCTTGAATTTGACCTTGAAGGTCAAGGTTTAGGGGTGAATGGGTTCGATTTTCGTGATCCTCATGGTCCAATTGACCTTGGACGAGGTTTTGGCTAAAATCGGTGCTCGTCGCTGGAAAAGTCGCTGGTGACGTAGCATTTTTAAAGTTCCCCGTTCTTTGACCTTGAATTTGACCTTGAAGTTTGACCTTGATGAAAATGGTTTTCGATGTGCGGCTAGAACTTTGCACGCGCTACATTTTGGTGCCAAAATTTTGAAGATCAGACAATAATTAGTGGCACTTTTTCAGTTCCCCGTCCTTTGACCTTGAATTTGACCTTGAAGGTTGACCTTGGTGAAAATGGTTTTCTATGTGCGGCTAGAACTTTGCCCGCGCTACATTTTGGTGCCAAAATTTTGAAGATCGGACAATATCTAGGCGCACTTTTTCAGTTCCCCGTCTTTTGATCTTGAATTTGACCTTGAAGGTCAAGGTTTAGGGGTGAATGGGTTCGATTTTCGTGATCCTCATGGTCCAATTGACCTTGGACGAGGTTTTGGCTAAAATCGGTGCTCGTCGCTGGAAAAGTCGCTGGTGACGTAGCATTTTTTAAGTTCCCCGTTCTTTGACCTTGAATTTGACCTTGAAGTTTGACCTTGATGAAAATGGTTTTCGATGTGCGGCTAGAACTTTGCACGCGCTACATTTTGGTGCCAAAATTTTGAAAATCGGACAATATTTAGTGGCACTTTTTCAGTTCCCCGTCCTTTGACCTTGAATTTGACCTTGAAGTTTGACCTTGATGAAAATGGTTTTCGATGTGCGGCTAGAACTTTGCACGCGCTACATTTTTGTGCCAAAATTTTGAAGATCGGACAATATCTAGTGGCACTTTTTCAGTTCCCCGTCCTTTGACCTTGAATTTGACCTTGAAGTTTGACCTTGATGAAAATGGGTTTCGATGTGCGGCTAGAACTTTGCACGCGCTACATTTTGGTGCCAAAATTTTGAAAATCGGACAATATTTAGTGGCACTTTTTCAGTTCCCCGTCATTTGACCTTGAATTTGACCTTGAAGTTTGACCTTGATGAAAATGGTTTTCAATGTGCGGCTAGAACTTTTCACGCGCTACATTTTGGTGCCAAAATTTTGAAAATCGGACAATATTTGGTGGCACTTTTTCAGTTCCCCGTCCTTTGACCTTGAATTTGACCTTGAAGTTTGACCTTGATGAAAATGGTTTTCGATGTGCGGCTAGAACTTTGCACGCGCTACATTTTGGTGCCAAAATTTTGAAGATCAGACAATAATTAGTGGCACTTTTTCAGTTCCCCGTCCTTTGACCTTGAATTTGACCTTGAAGGTTGACCTTGGTGAAAATGGTTTTCGATGTGCGGCTAGAACTTTAACCGCGCTACATTTTGGTGCCAAAATTTTGAAGATCGGACAATATCTAGGCGCACTTTTTCAGTTCCCCGTCCTTTGATCTTGAATTTGACCTTGAAGGTCAAGGTTTAGGGGTGAATGGGTTCGATTTTCGTGATCCTCATGGTCCAATTGACCTTGGACGAGGTTTTGGCTAAAATCGGTGCTCGTCGCTGGAAAAGTCGCTGGTGACGTAGCATTTTTTAAGTTCCCCGTTCTTTGACCTTGAATTTGACCTTGAAGTTTGACCTTGATGAAAATGGTTTTCGATGTGCGGCTAGAACTTTGCACGCGCTACATTTTGGTGCCAAAATTTTGAAAATCGGACAATATTTAGTGGCACTTTTTCAGTTCCCCGTCCTTTGACCTTGAATTTGACCTTGAAGTTTGACCTTGATGAAAATGGTTTTCGATGTGCGGCTAGAACTTTGCACGCGCTACATTTTTGTGCCAAAATTTTGAAGATCGGACAATATCTAGTGGCACTTTTTCAGTTCCCCGTCCTTTGACCTTGAATTTGACCTTGAAGTTTGACCTTGATGAAAATTGTTTTCGATGTGCGGCTAGAACTTTGCACGCGCTACATTTTGGTGCCAAAATTTTGAAAATCGGACAATATTTAGTGGCACTTTTTCAGTTCCCCGTCATTTGACCTTGAATTTGACCTTGAAGTTTGACCTTGATGAAAATGGTTTTCGATGTGCGGCTAGAACTTTTCACGCGCTACATTTTGGTGCCAAATTTTTGAAAATCGGACAATATTTAGTGGCACTTTTTCAGTTCCCCGTCCTTTGACCTTGAATTTGACCTTGAAGTTTGACCTTGATGAAAATGGTTTTCGATGTGCGGCTAGTAGTTTGCACGCGCTACATTTTGGTGCCAAAATTTTGAAAATCGGACAATATTTAGTGGCACTTTTTCAGTTCCCCGTCCTTTGACCTTGAATTTGACCTTGAAGTTTGACCTTGATGAAAATGGTTTTCGATGTGCGGCTAGAACTTTGCACGCGCTACATTTTGGTGCCAAAATTTTGAAAATCGGACAATATTTAGTGGCACTTTTTCAGTTCCCCGTCCTTTGACCTTGAATTTGACCTTGAAGTTTGACCTTGATGAAAATGGTTTTCGATGTGCGGCTAGAACTTTGCACGCGCTACATTTTGGTGCCAAAATTTTGAAAATCGGACAATATTTAGTGGAACTTTTTCAGTTCCCCGTCCTTTGACCTTGAATTTGACCTTGAAGTTTGACCTTGATGAAAATGGTTTTCGATGTGCGGCTAGAACTTTGCACGCGCTACATTTTGGTGCCAAAATTTTGAAAATCGGACAATATTTAGTGGCACTTTTTCAGTTCCCCGTCCTTTGACCTTGAATTTGACCTTGAAGGTCAAGGTTTAGGGGTGAATGGGTTCGATTTTCGTGATCCTCATGGTCCAATTGATCTTGGACGAGGTTTTGGCTAAAATCGGTGCTCGTCGCTGGAAAAGTCGCTGGCGACGTCGCCAACTTCACGGACATGGTAGGATCGAGGGACGGCTGTGATGGAACACAGGTGGAAAGGGGGAGATAATTAGGGGATGAGATGAATAAACTACACGACACAGCTGGCGGCCCATGCACGTGCATGGACAGATTGCCGATAAACGGGACGTGTTTATATGAACAGGAAACGGCAGCCATGTGTCGACACGACAAACCCGACTATTATAATGTGTTAGATGGCACTTCGAAATGATTCATGTCAGGAATCTGTCGTGGTGACACGAACACTGATTTGAACAGGATAGGCCGATCGATACACAATGTCCCGCATAACGTAGGAAAGCGAAAGCGTTTCTTTCAAGAAGCCAGCTCTCATGTCTCCCGCAATTCTGCTGTTGTATCGTGAGCCTGGCTACGCGTAGTTCAGTTAGCGACCGCCAGGTGGAAACCGGTCGCCGGTTGTCAGTGTTGCCAGGTCTAGAGGTAAACCTCCAGATCTAGAGGTTTTAGGGGAGCGTTTCGGGGCTCCTGGAGGTTTTCGAAAAATGCCGGATTCTAGAGGTTTTTCTAGAGGTAATCCTTGATATATACACCAGTCGCATACAGGTACGGGATTTGGCATACGATTTCCAGACAATCGAAAGACTGTTTGGAGCCAACGAAGGAAGGAATGAGTGGGTTAGGTTGAAAGTATTAATTTGGTTCAAAATGATGAGGTAGATAACTTAGTTATTTAAATCTAAATATCTTATGACGAGAGCGATTGACATTTTTGGTATGCAGTGTTATTCATTGAAAACAGGTCGGAGCGTTTGAGTCTTTAATTTAGTGGTCGCCGCTTACTAATCATGCGGCATACACGCCGCACATAACCGCCAATGCCGCAACGCAGCTTAGATTTTGAAGTAAGCATTTAGTCTCACCCTAATCTGAACTGAAAAGCGAGAAATATCATCAAGGTCATTCTAGAACTATTTAATTTAACTTATGATATTGTTTTTATGTATTTCGTGCTAAAATACATTTTTTACAGGCTAATGGAAAAGGGAAACGTAATATAATAAAATGTGTAATTCAAAAAGGCATTACCTACCAAGAAAAACAATTACGCATCAACATAAATTAGCGGCAATCACAGCAGAAAACGGTAAACAATAACCTGGCTTTGAACCTGGCTGTTAGCGTAGTGGATTGCGGCGGCTTGTGGCGTTTTGTCGCTTTTGTGATATTTCTTATTTATATTTGATGCAGCGTGATAATGGGAAAATCAAAGCCATATCCGCAAAAGTACGTGAAAGACTGGGAAAAGGAGGTGGAATTTCGGGGCTGGTTGAAGTCTGTGACTGGGGATGACCGACGCGCGAGATGCACTGTGTGCAGTACCACCCTTACTGCGAAAAAGAAGGATCTCCAGGATCACGCAAAGACCGAAAAACACAAGAAGGCCGTCGTAGCCTCAAAATGCTCGCCAAAAATCACAGACAAGTTGGCGTCGGCATCGGGGAGCGATCGTGAGTGCACTAAGCGGGCGGAATTAAGGACAGCTCTCTTTGTTGCTGAACATGGTTCAAATGCTTCTGCAGATCACCTCAGCGACGTGATAGCTTCACTTGACCCTCACTCAAATGTTCTGAAGAACTTCAAGCTGCATCGCACAAAGTGCTCTGGCATAATTAATAACGTGATCGGGCCAATTCTACACGAGGAGCTGTTAAATGACATAGGACAATCATACTTTAGCCTCATCTTGGACGAGTCCACAGACATTTCAACGACTCAGTGTCTGGGAATCATGGTCAGATATTTTAGCAAAAAGATGAAAAAAGTGGTCACGTCGATGTACAGACTGATAGAGCTACAAGCAACCTCTGCAGAGGCAATTTTGGAAGCGTTGCTACGTGCCCTGGACACAGACAAACTTCAGGTGAGTCGTCTAGTGGGCATTGGTGTGGACGGTGCCAGTGCGATGGTCGGACGACACCATTCTGTGTCGTCCATGCTGAAGGAAAAAGTGCCTCACCTGGTAGTTGTTCGTTGCATCTGCCATTCGCTTCATCTTGCAGCCAGTTATGCTTCTGCGGTGCTCCCTCGCCACTTGGACTATATGGTACGGGAAACGTACAGCTGGTTTAGTTGTAGCGCCAAACGTCAAAGAGAATATGCGAGGCTATACTCTGCGATGAATGACGGCAGCAGGAACCCAAAGATCTCAAAGATTGCGTCAACCAGATGGCTGAGCAGGGGTAACGCTGTGGCTAAGATCATTGAGCAGTATGAAGAGCTGAAGCTCACATTTCAGCTGGCAAAGGACAAGGAGCGGTGCTTTCAGGCCGATCAACTGTGGCGGATGTACGAGGACAAACAGAACCTTCTTTATCTTTCTTTCATGAACACACAGCTGAGTGCCCTGAACAGGATAAATAAGATATTTCAGTCCTCGAATCCCGACCCATGTGCCGTCCACAGAGATCTCCACGACTACATCTGCGGCCTCCTGGACCAGGCAGTGATGCCAGCTGCCTTGCACGGCATCAGAACGAGCCTTGAAGATCTCTCAGAAATTTCTGTGGCACGTCACCTCATTCCGGCCAGAGCCATTTATTTCGGCCACGACTTCAGCATTGTCGAAATGGGGATTCAGCAAGAGGTTGTCGCAGTAGTGCGGGAGAAATGTCGTGATTTTCTCCTTCAGCTCATTGTCGAAGTACAAAAGCGGCTCCCCGACAACATTAAGCTGTTGTCACAGCTGTCTGCGCTATCACCAGAGGAGGCGATGAAGGCCAACAGTCGGTCCATCATCCCCATCGCCACTCACAGAGCTCTGGCGGGCGCCGAACCAGAACATGTGGAAGTCCAGTGGCGCGCTCTGAGGAGAGAGGACTGGAACAGTGTGCAAGATGCTGAGCAGAAAGGCATCGACAGAGAAAGTTTTTGGTCGGAAGTTGGGGAGAAAAAGCTGGCAGATGGGGAAGTGAAGTACCAGAATGTCCATCAGCTGGCGACGTCTCTTCTCACCATGCCGATCTCAAACGCTGAGGTGGAACGTCTTTTTTCACAAATGAATTGTGTGAAAACTGGACTGCGAAACCGCATGCAGGTGGACATGCTGGAGTCTGTGCTCAGAGTCAGGAGCAGGCTTCATTCGACGAACCAAACGTGCGTCACGTACCCGATATCTGCAAAAATGCTGTCTGTTTTCAGGGCCTCGGTCGTTTATGACGGGGAGTGGCCAGAAGGTCTGTAGACTGATGACGGGTAGACGGGCGAGAGCTAGAGTGGCAGTGGCTGATTGATCTGCCATTGGTGTTTGGTTTGACTGTGTGTTTGTTTTAGTTCCTACTGCTTGTTTTAGTTCCTAGTCCTGTTGTAGACGAATAAATAGGCAAATCGGTTTGTGCTCTATTAACGTTTGTCTCTGTGGTCAGTGGCGTTTGTACCTATATTTACATTGCACGACTCATTTTAACTATAGGTACGTAGTAAGAAAGCGACTATCATTCAAAGCATAATTATAGGTAGGTATTTAGTATCGGATGCAAGCATATATACAGGCACGAAATAAGCGCAGAATTTGAAGTCATACACGTAATACATGCACACTCTACCGGAGTGATCATTCAAACATTCCAACACGTAGGTATGTGGGTTATAGGTAGCAGGTACGGGGACCCGCAGTTGCTACTGTACACGAACTCCAACTCTAGCCGTCTGTCCTGTCCAGTAACAACCGATAACATTGATATCGACTGCCGGTCCCTGTAGAGCAGCTGAGGTTTTCTGTGCGTGCCCTCTGACACATAGGCGGTCCCAGGGGGGGGGCCACGGGGGCCATGGCCCCCCCTTTGGTGCTGAAAGGTGGGGCCATACTATCTTTTGGCCCCACCTTTCAGATCGAACAAAAGTCCTAGAAAATCTTTTCGTATGTTTCATTTTCTTTCTTGCACCATCGAAGAACGTAAATTTCACTCATGAGTGGGCTCAGTTTCGCATTCTGTCAATTTGGCGGTCAGCGTCGCTGGCACCGGTTCACGAGTATGGCCGGATCTTACACGGAATATCAGCGTGGATTTACTTGAGGCTCTCGTAGGCCCAGCAATGGCTGGCATGAGACCCTCTTCGGCAGTGGCGGGTGGGCCCTGCTAAAGGAGATTGGCTCTAAGACACTAAAGTAAGACCTCATGGGTTGGTGCTGTGCACCTCAGAAGCCCGGTGGTGACGCCGTATGCCGGCTTGGTTTCGTGGGATTGGCGTGGGACCTCCGGGGCCTGCATAGAGTTTGCGTGAGCTAGTATGTAATCTCAGAGGCATGTGTGTAATGTGTACACAGTGGCGGTCGCGGGGGGGGGGGGCTAACAGCCAATGGGCCCCCATATAGGTGTATGGGGCCCTGGCAATTATTCGATCGTCACGAGGCTCAAAAAACCCACGCCCAGCTATTAATATAGCTCCCACACCGGTCTTTGAGCGTCTTACACTGACCTCTGAGGGAACTTCAGTGGCGTTCAAGCGCCCACGTTGACCGCTAAGAGCCTACATCAACCTCTGAGGCCCCACATCTGGTCTATGAGGGGCCCTAACCGGCCTCAGGGGCCCCAACCGGCGTCTGAGGGTCTCACACCGGTCTCTGGTGGCCTTATTTCTGTCTCTGGTGTTCCAAGACGAACCTTTAGGTGCCAATGAGGGCCCCGCACTGGCTGCTGAAGACCCGATGCCGGCCTCTAAGGGCCTGCATTGGCCTCTGAGGAGGGCCCATCTTGGCCTTTGAGGGCCCTCTGCTGGCCTCTGGGGTCCAACGACGGCTTATGCCGGTCTTTTAGGGCCCCACGCTGACCTCTGAGGGCCCATGTTGGCCAGTCTGACAGCTTACCGTTGTTCCCTGTGAGGGTGCTGGGACAATTTACTCAGGGTCGCTGTACAGTGTACAGCAGCAACTGCGGGTCCCCGTACCCATAAATGGCTCTGAACCCTCCACTGAGCCGTAGTTCGTCAGCATTAACTAACGTCAGTCGTCAGAGGGACTAAGTAGATAACATTGAGATGCTCATGTGCATCGAACATACAATGTAATGTCGACAAATGCGAAGGATAATCAATTAATCTTCATTGAGGATACATGGTTTGTGATACGGAGGTAAGTATGGAGGTATTTCATAATCAGCGGTAATGGAACAGAGGTTTCTAGAGGTTTCTTCAGCTTTGTCTGGAGGTATTGGCATCACTCGACCTGGCAACACTGCCGGTTGTGCGGCAGTCGGCCGCCGGCCCGCGCAGGGCGTGGGTGTGTTCTGGTTGGCTGTGCGCCAAGTGGGCGCGCAATCACAGACGCGGAATAAAGAACTCACATTATATCAAATTGGCGACGAGGATGAGATCAAGGTGAAGCCTTGGAGCTGTGATTGCGAGTGATGGCGAAACGGACCGGTGATCAGTGCGCGGTGGTCCGCGAGGGCGGACAGGCCACGGACGGTGAGGGCGCAAACGTTGCTTAGTACGAATGCTTAGTGCTTAGTATTGCTTAGTATTTTTATTTTCGCGCTGCTGCTGGTAGTCTGCCTGTCGCGCGGCGGCCGTGGTCGTGGCATTTCCATGTGATCGCCATTTGTGGCGGCCATGATGCCTCGGCAGTGTGGTGTGCGTGGCGCATGCGTCGGCGTGCTGCACGCTGATTGGTCGGCCGGGGGTGACGCGCAGCTGTGGCAGCGCGTGTGATTGGCCGATTGGTGCGGCGGGGAGGGCCTCAATGCGGTTTGAGGTGCCTGGTCCCCAAGCGGATAATTTCGGCGGGAAGCTGGCGCGCGGCCGGGCGGTTCGGGACGAGTGCGCATGCGCGCGCGGTGACGTGCGTGTGACGTCACTACCACGTGACTCCCCCGTCGAGTAAAGCGCGGGAAACCGCAGCCGGCAGCGCCAAGACGGGCGCAGGGCGGCGCGGTGAGCGGTGACGGTCGGCGTGAGCGGTGGCCGACCGGCGTGAGCGGTGGCCGACCGGCGTGTGCGGTGACCGGCCGGCTTGTGCGGTGACCGGCCGGAGCGAGCCGACGGTGAAGCGGCGGCGGGCCGACCGGTGGAGCGGCGGCGGGCCGACCGGTTGAGCGGCGGCGGGCCGACCGGTGGAGCGGCGGCGGGCCGACCGGTGGAGCGGCGGCGGGCCGACCGGTGGAGCGGCGGCGGGCCGACCGGTGGAGCGGCGGCGGGCCGACCGGTGGAGCGGCGGCGGTGACCGGCCGGCTTGTGCGGTGACCGGCCGGTGTGAGCGGTGACGCCCGGAGCGAGCCGACGGTGAAGCGGCGGCGGGCCGACCGGTGGAGCGGCGGCGGGCCGACCGGTGGAGCGGCGGCGGGCCGACCGGTGGAGCGGCGGCGGGCCGACCGGTGGAGCGGCGGCGGGCCGACCGGTGGAGCGGCGGCGGGCCGACCGGTGGAGCGGCGGCGGGCCGACCGGTGGAGCGGCGGCGGGCCGACCGGTGGAGCGGCGGCGGGCCGACGGTGGAGCGGCGGCGGGCCGACCGGTGGAGCGGCGGCGGGCCGACCGGTGGAGCGGCGGCGGGCCGGCCGGTGGAGCGGCGGCGGGCCGGCCGGTGGAGCGGCGGCGGGCCGGCCGGTGGAGCGGCGGCGGGCCGGCCGGTGGAGCGGCGGCGGGCCGGCCGGTGGAGCGGCGGCGGGCCGGCCGGAGGAACGACGCGCTGGTGAGAGCACGGCAGCGTGATGGATCCAACGGGCATGCAGCTGGTGTCTGCGGGGCCGTACCGGGCAGGCACGGACTTCGAGAAATGGCTGCGAGCGTTGGAGCGCTACATGGTCGCTATGGACATCCAAGGGCCTACCAGACGGTGCGCCGTGCTGCTACACCTGGTGGGGCCTGACATAGCCGATGTCAGCGACTCCCTGCCGGAAGAGGAGGCAGAAGGACCGGAGGAAGACGAGTTCACCCGGCTAAAAAGGAAGTTGGTACGGTACCTGGTGCCAAGGAATAACGTCGTGGCTGAACGAGGGAAATTCCAAGGAATGACAATGGAGCCGGAGGAAAGCCTGGAGGACTTCCTGGCCAGGCTACGGACCCAAATCCTGCGCTGCGGCTACGAGCCGGCGCAGGTGAACCGGGAGCTGCGAGACCGCTGCGTCCTGGGCAGCCGAGGCGAGCTGCAGCGGAAGCTGGTGAGGGAAGCGGCACTGAAGGGCGACGAACTCAACCTGGAGGATGTCCGGCGGACGGCACGCGCCCACCGGGACGTCATGGACCTGACGACTCGGTTGTCAGGGGCGCCGGTGCCGGCTGCGACGGACGGGGAGGCAGTCCAGGTGGTGAGACGCCAGCGGCGGGCGGAGACGGCCAGGCCGGCCGAGCGCCCGGGACCGGGCTCGAGCTTCGGCTGCGGAGGCCGGGGACACTGGCGGCGGGACTGTCCGACGGCTAGGGCGGACTCGGCGCCGGAGAGGGCGCGCCCTCCGGCGGCAGGAGCGGTGCAGCAGCGCGGAGTGTCTCGCCCGCCCGGCCCGGCAGACGGCGGTCGGCGAGACAGCAGACGCGGCGGACCGCTCGAGAAGAGGAGGTGCTTCAAATGTGGCAGAACTGGACACCTGAAGCGGGACTGTCCAGGAATCGGACAGGTGGCGTCCGTGGAGGAGGATGTCGTGATGACGGTGGCGCAGCTGACGAGCCAGGACCGGCTGCCACTGGTAACTCTGTCTGTCAACGGCCGGGAGACTGAGATGCTGGTTGACACCGGGTCACCAGTGTCGATCGTGGCGGACGGCAGCATCCCGGGACTGAAGCTGAGACCGTCCAAGATGCAGCTACGCTCGTTCACGGGTCAGCCGGTGCCGGTCCGCGGCGAGGCGACCGTGCAGACGGAGTATGGCGGCCAGCGGAAGCGGCTGAACGTGGTTGTCAGCGGTCAGCTCCGACACCACCCGCTGCTGGGGCGCGACTGGCTGCGTGAAATACGTCTGGACTGGCGGTCGCTGCTGCAGGTCAGCGAGGCCAGCAAAGTGAGCGGCGGGCGGACGCTGAGCTCAGTGACGGCGGCGCACGCAGCAGTGTTTGCAGGGGGCCTCGGCACGATGGAGCAGCGCGCGCACCTGACCCTAAAGCCGGACGCGGTGCCGCGGCGGCTACCACCGCGACCCGTACCGTGTGCGCTGCTGCCGCAAGTGGAGAACGATGGAGCCGGCGGGCGCCTGGACGCCAGCGGAGTGAGCAGCGGGCGCCAGGACGCCGGTGATGAGGGCGGGCGCCGGAGCCCGGAGGCAGACGGGCGCCGTGACACCTATGGAGGAGGCGGACGCCGGGTCGCTGGCGAGCGCCGGGACGCTGGCGGGAACAGCGGACGCCGGGACACGGCAGTCTGCGGGTACCGGGTCGCTGGCGAGCGCTGGGACGCTGGGGGGCGCCGGCGCGCTGGTAGGCGGCGGGACGCCAGCGGCGCCGGGAGGTCAGGCCGGCGGGACGCAAGCGGCGCCGGGAGGTCAGGACGGCGGGACGCCAGCGGCGCCGGGAGGTCAGGCCGGCGGGACGCCAGCTGCGCCGGAAGGTCAGGCCGGCGGGACACAAGCGGCGCCGGGAGGTCAGGCCGGCGGGACGCCAGCGGCGCCGGGAGGTCAGGCCGGCGGGACGCCAGCGGCGCCGGGATGTCAGGCCGGCGGGACGCCAGCGGCGCCGGGAGGTCGGGCCGGCGGGACGCCAGCGGCGCCGGGAGGTCAGGCCGGCGGGACGCCAGCGGCGCCGGGAGGTCAGACAGGCGGAACGCCGGCGGCGCCGGGAGGTCAGGCCGGCGGGACGCCAGCGGCGCGGGGAGGTCAGGCCGGCGGGACGCCATCGGCGCCGGGAGACCAGTCCGGTGGGACTGCGGCGGCGCCGGGAGCCGGGTCCGTCGGGACTGCGGCGGCGCCGGGAGCCGGGTCCGTCGGGACTGCGGCGGCGCCGGGAGCCGGATCCGTCGGGACGGTGGCGGCGCTAGGAGCCGGGTCCGTCGGGACTGCGGCGGCGCCGGGAGCGGAGGCTGCAGCGGCTCAGATCGGACTGATCCGACGGAGCAGGTCCGGAATCAGCGGGAGGCGGCCGCTGGGACGGGCGTGCCGGCGGGGTCTCTAGCGAAGGCGCTAGGACGGCTGTACCGGTGGCGCTCGGCGGGGTCGGTGCCGGCGCCAGCGGAGGCGACGGAGAAGACAGCCGAGCGGTGACAGTCCTCGGGAGCAGTCAGACAGTCACCGAGTGCAGCGGCGGCACAGCGGACTGGCATCGGAACGACCGTACTCGTACGGGCGGCGGAGCGGTTGCGAGCAGTGCCGATAGGGCAGGTGAGGTGCGCGGCGACGCAGCGGACCGGTATCGGGCTGGTCGCCCTCGTGCGAGCGGTGGAGAGACGGTGAGCGAGACCGAAGGCACAGGTCGCGCGCGCGGTGGCGCTACTGACGGACCGCCGGCAGCGGTGAGCGGTGCTGGTGGGACCGGCGGCGCGCGCGGTAGCAAGCCTAACGCTTCGCCAGGAGTGGTGAGCGGCGCCGGTGGGACAGGACATGGCGCGCGCGGCGGCGATTGTAAAGGACCGCCGGCAGAGGTGCGGCGGCGGTTGTCCGTGCGTCACTCTCAGCCACCGAGGAGGTGGATAACTGAGATGTGATCGGGTGGGAAAATACGTGATTTTAACGGAGATGTGATCGGGCGGAAGGATCGAGCGGAAGAATATGTGATTCCGTGTGTCAATAGGTGCCACCGATAAAGTGGATAACAGATGTGATTGGCCAGGGAAAGTGTGGGTCAATTTGTACCGCCGAGAAGGGTGATGACTGATTAGTTATTATCGTTTGGAAGTACAGATTGATAAGCAGTGTAAGGGCAGACGTGCGCGACTCTAAAGTCAGTGAATTTGTAGTTATGTTCGTATCGCACGGATGTGAGCGATGTCAGTGATCGCACTAAAATAGGCGGCAGTGTTGACGCTGTAAGTGACCGGACTGAATTTGACTAGTTTGTGGTGGCTCGCAGGTTGAGTAAGTTATGTTTGATAGTTCGATGTTTGAACTCAAATCCAGGGGGGCAGGGTGTTGTATCGTGAGCCTGGCTACGCGTAGTTCAGTTAGCGACCGCCAGGTGGAAACCGGTCGCCGGTTGTGCGGCAGTCGGCCGCCGGCCCGCGCAGGGCGTGGATGTGTTCTGGTTGGCTGTGCGCCAAGTGGGCGCGCAATCACAGACGCGGAATAAAGAACTCACATTATATCATCTGCCGTCAGCATGAAATAAGCAATGCCCTAAACATATCACTCACTGTTTTTAGCTAAAAGAAAGAAAAACTTCCAGAGCACACCAACTTCCTGAAATCCACGCTGCTATTGCGTGAGCTCAGCAGATGAATCATGCATGACATTCCGAAGCTATTATGAACGTCAATCCAAAATGCAGAGCAGTCAGGCGGGAGTTGCAGTAGGCAATATCATTGCAAGCCTGACATAAAACGGTCACGTCAGCGCCGAATACAGTCATGGCTGTAATTCCTCGATGGAGTAAAATGCCTCCAACCATTCGTTGACCTTGGTCAGACCTACATGATACTCAGGCGCTGTTTCCCGGCTCACCAACAAAGCTCATGCAGGAGCACGACGGTCTAACACCGCCCAGGCCAAGGAGAAAGCGGTTATTTACTCCGACATATGCAGCACGCTCTGCTATCATAAGCTTCAAATCATAGGTACGGGAAAGTATCGGATATTGGATATCATGGGACAAGGGCTACAATTACGACTCGCAGGCCCATCACGAGCCGAGCCGACTTCAGCCATAGGTATTTATTGCAGGTTGTCGCATTGTCTGCGCACACTGCGCACGTCGGTGTGTCCTTTTTTGCAGACCAATCTCGAATTTACACCTCTATGACTCACCTCAAGCGGTGTTCGAACATTCCGGAAGGCTCCACCGTCTCATTTGCACATCTGAATATTCTAATGTATCGCTCTAATTCGCACCTACAGCTTCGATCCACCTAATCCCAGTATTTACGTAAGCCCCGACCAAGATTGTATAAGCCGTCCCGACACAGCGTCTCCCCGATGGGCCTCCGTTTCGCCGCCCAATTTGCACCTCAATCATCAGTGTCAGTGTATACCAATACGCTCCGCGGGAAGCAACCGTATCACCACCAGTCGGGGAGGGATGGGCAGAGGGTCGAGGGGGGGGGGACTCGAGTGATCCAGTGGGGCGGGGTGGCCCTGAATGCCTGACGTCTCACCGCCCCAGGCTACGGCGAACGCATACCAAGCCGCCTGCCTTTTGTGCGGTCCGCCCGTACACTACGGCTGACGGGGACAGAGTGGACGGGGACAGGTGTGAGAGAGACGCTGGGAGAGAGGAGGGGAGGAGGTCATCGAGCTGCACATCGACGCTGGAGAGAGGGAGGAGAAGGGATAGAACAGGGTCAGAGTGGGAGAGAGTGAGAGTGAGACACTGAAAAACTGAGTGAAGAAGAGCTGGGTATAGAGAGCCGGGAGGGTCGAGTTAAATCATGACAGAGAGAGAGAGAGAGAGAGAGAGAGAGAGAGAGAGAGAGAGAGAGAGAGAGAGAGAGAGAGAGAGAGAGAGAGAGAGAGAGAGAGAGAGAGAGAGAGAGAGAGAGAGAGAGAGAGAGAGACGGAGGAAGGAGAGAGAGAGAGAGGCATTGCATGCGAAGAAAGCGAAGGAATTGTGAAGCAGACAAAATAAATAAAAATACTGATTGGAGGGAATGGTCTAACCATAATATCCACTACCCAGTTGTCCGACAACTCTCAGCTCTGTACCAAGGCCCAGGGCGATCCGACATAAGGCAGTCGCCGGAAACCGTGCCTTCGCCACAGGCTCGGAGTGGGTGAGACGTGCCAATATACCCTGGGACGTGCCTAGGCGAGCCGCAGCCCGCATACCAAGCAGCTATAGCGCGCGTCGATTCAAACGGGCGGCCGGCACGGGTGCTGACGTCATCCTAAAGTCAATCCTCGAGTCGGCTCCCGGATACACCACTGACCACGGCCAGCCAGCCAGACGGTCAGTCGGACGGTCGTTCGGTGGTCAGGGTCGAGTGGAGACGGGTGTTGCTAGGCCTACCGGGTAACGACAACGGAAAATGTGCCGATATCATACTGAATACGATTGTTGACTTGTTTAAAAATGGTGCTTAAATTACCCCCAAAACAACTACGTCTGTATTGAATAGCACAGCTCTGTCAGGGTTGGATTCTCCTGACTACCACGTCCACGTGGATGCCTTTCCCTTCTCCCCTCCACCCAGCGACTCCGAGTCCGTCCCTGACTGCTGACATCCGACAGCTCCACGGTTGATGACTCACCGTTATTGGACGACTCCGAAGGCCAGCGTCGCATAATGTAACCGTCACTGTCCTGAAACGCAACGAACGTGAGTCAATGCGTGGGCTGTGGCTAGATGCATAGTCATGCCTACGGCAAAGAGTCACTATTGAAATTCACGCACAGGCTGCTATTGAGTCATATATTTTTAGCTGCCTATTACCTTGAATTTTGAAAAGTGGCTATTTCAAAGGTTATGCCTGGCGACATTTCAAAACTTAGCAATGACATCGAATCCGTTCCAAAATCCGGGAAAAGGCGATTTTTGTTTTTGTACCGAAGCAATGGGCACAGTTAAAAATAGAAGGGATTTTCTTCCGACTATAAGAGAAAGCCTTGCCTCCGAACAGTAATCCGACCTTCTCATCTAAAACACGTCCAGTTTAGGGTCACCACGGCCTCAAAAAGGTACTGCGCGCATATGCGTAATACGATGATACCGTCCGCCCTCATAACCTTCCGAATCAATCAAAACGTATCCCGATTGGCACAGATGTGCTATGGTGCAATACAAGATAGCAAGTGAACTTGGGAAAAGCTGAACCTCTAAGCTCCCCCTTGTCTCACGCATCTCATTCCATCACGATATGACTCACTCCCCATCCGGCTAAAACGGTTAAATCGGCCTTGAATTGCTGCTCACGTTATACTCCGCTTACAATTGCGGTATTCGTAGTCACGTAAGTTTCCGAGCTTTCAAGACGTTCTGCACCGATCACAAATACCGACGCCCGCTCGCCCCGGTGAGATATTTTTTTCAGATAGAAGCAGCACCTGGAGGCCGCCTCTAGATCGCACGGTAGATAGGACGAACGGGCGACAAATGGCGACAAAGAACCGGGGCGGGAAAAGAATACAAGGCATGGGCGACGGCGGGTCGGGGTGACAGAGCAGAAACTGGGACCGAAATGTGGCGTCGGGTGGCGTTCGCCCCAGAGAACATGGGCTAGCTCCACTTTATCAAAAGTCCCTTTGGCGAATTTCGAGAGAGAGAGAGAGAGAGAGAGAGAGAGAGAGAGAGAGAGAGAGAGAGAGAGAGAGAGAGAGAGAGAGAGAGAGAGAGAGAGAGAGAGACAGAGACAGAGACAGAGACAGAGACAGAGACAGAGACAGAGACAGAGACAGAGACAGAGACAGAGACAGAGACAGAGACAGAGACAGAGACAGAGACAGAGACAGAGACAGAGACAGAGACAGAGACAGAGACAGAGACAGAGACAGAGACAGAGACAGAGACAGAGACAGAGACAGAGACAGAGACAGAGACAGAGACAGAGAGAGAGAGAGAGAGAGAGAGAGAGAGAGAGAGAGAGAGAGAGAGAGAGAGAGAGAGAGAGAGAGAGAGAGAGAGAGAGAGAGAGAGAGAGAGAGAGAGAGAGAGAGAGAGAGAGAGAGAGAGAGAGAGAGAGAGAGAGAGAGAGAACAGCCCGAGCATCCCGCGTCTGGCAATGCAGTCAAGGAACGTGCCTCCTGAATGAATTAGGAGTTGCCGGTCAAATACCAAGAGTTGAGTGCACCTACCAGCAACAGTCAACAATTCCACCCCTCCCCTGCCTCCCTCTCCCCCTCTCCCCCAAGCACGGTCGAGTAGCCGTCGGCCCGTTGGCCCGGCCTCCTCAGTCACGTTCCTCTGCAGGCCACATTGTTTGTGCCACCCTGACTGAGCACTGAGCAGGCACGGCGTGCCACTGTGTGCATTATGTCCGGTCACAGGGCGGGCGGCTCGGCTGAGCAGCCGCTGAGCCATCGCGCGGTATTTGGGCTTAGATGGGCGGGGTCTTTCAGCTTATCAGCTTATGTAAAAGTGAGATCTACATTGCTGTTGGATTTACAGATCAATACAATAATAAGCTGAGAGTTGGTTGGACAGAAAACATTTTTATTCGATCTTCCCTCCAACGGGCGCTTATAGTCCCATTTACAGGGCATCTCCTGTTCCAGGAAGCATATATTAAAGCATAGGAGTAAATTGAGTCGTGCAAATCGTTCCCTTAGCCAGCTATGCAACAGTCGTTTATGACGACACCTCAAGTTGCCCTTCAACTGGTCGGAAATCGTCCAATGGCTAATAGCCTTTCCCGTATGGGAGATCGGTGCCCATGTTACGAACTGTCGACTTCATCCGCACAAACCATACGATAAGGACCGTCACTGCTTCCACTCAGTGGCGCCCACTAATTCGCTTTGAAAGGGGACACTCTACCCTCTGCCGTTCGGGAGGGGAGGGGATACAAGTGTCGGAGCGGTGCCGCTCAACCCCCTCTCCCCCTCCCCGCCCGGTCATGGTAGCCCGTCCGCTGCAGAGGCCTGCAACGGCTTGGCTCCCAGACTATCACCGCTGCATTGGCTGGGACGGGAATGAGTTGGATGCAGGGCAGGATCATGTGACTTTAAACGGTGGAAAATATGATTTGGAAAGCTTAAAGAAATGTGACTTATAATTCTTTAGCAGCGTACTCACCAAAACATAGACGTCGATGGGATCGTCAAAAGGCTTCAGATCTGTCCGCAGCATCACCACTCGGAATGATACTGAAACAAAAACAGCATAGCTGTAAAATGTCGCTGAAAACAAGTAAACGCCGGGCGTTCCCTTAACATTAACTTTAAAACAGTAGCTGAACCGCAGTAAAGTTTTAGAACGGAACAATGCGCCCAATGCGTTAAACCGAAAGGTAAATCTCATACAAAATCAATTTCAACCATTGGTCTTATCTCCTTTATAATTTTTCACCTGTGCCGGTATGTGTAAATGAGAATGAGCCGCAAAGATCGTGCAGATCTTAAACTGCTGCGATCCACTAAATCACACTGTGCCGTTAAGAACCACCCTCCCTCTAGGTATAAGAAATCTCACCGGTCTGTCCGAAGTTGTAGAGCGGCCGGTTGGTCTGGATCAGTACGGTGAGGAAGCGCTGTGCGAACTCGAGCCTGGTCTCGTTGACGAAGACGCTGCCGCCGACGTCTCCCTTGTGGTCCCCCTCCAGGCGCAGCTGGTAGTTACCCGGCGTGGAGGTGCTCGGAATCTGAGGGGGGTGTTAGGGAGGATGGTATTTGCGATTTTTTTTTGGTGTGTGTGGTGGGGGGGGAGGGACATGCCAGATATGCTGCCGCACCAAAAAGAACGGCTTATTGATATTTGCTGAAAATATTGGAACCTATTGTCAAACGCCGTAAATCGTTTACGCACGAAATAATACCTACAACAACTCTATATTTACAACAAAACATCATGAACACATTATCAATCCAAGTAACTCGCATATGCTCTGCTGTATAGACGGGATAAAAATAAACAAATACAAATAAATATAATTGTAAGTATTGTTATTTAGCTGGGACGGTTGCATAGTTATAGAAGACATAATTGAACACCAGCTATTACTTTATTTAATGGGAGCTTTCGGGAGCAGAACGGAGCAGGGTTTTGGAGAGAGATGTATTTGAAACACTGAAGAGTAAGCTCAGCGCTAGAGAGCAGTCAGAGTACCGTAAAGTGAAGGAGTGTCAGAAGACTAAATTTACTAGACTCTCTGGCACCCGTCTCAGGGAGCCGGGGGACGGCGCTGAGGCCAACGTCAACAATGCACCCTTATCATCTGCTGCCACCGCTGTGGGTTCAGCTGTCTCTGCGCCGAACGACGGTGTCGAATTTTTAATTCACGACGACCTTAACGACCGACCATCGAGGGGAAACTTCTACGAACGACGATTCGACCGCCTCTACCAACGGCGAACAGCGACTGAACGGGAGTCAGAGGGACGTCCACTCAGCAGTGCGGCACGGGGATGATGGAGACGCAACTGAAGGAGCCGTTCCAGCAGCCGACACGGTCGGTTTCAGCTCTGGTACCGACTCAGTGTCTGGTCTCACGCCCCTCCCAGGTGATGGCCTACAGGGGCCTACTGAGCAATGTGAGCGCCGCTCAGGACAACTTAAGGACAACTGGGTTGTAAATCTGTCTGGCCAACCGCTGAGTGAGGCCGAAATTGGGGTGTTAAGTAGAGGGTTGAATTTCGTTCCAACACCTTAGAAGGTAGACAATGTCGAATTTATTACTGAAGTTGAGAAATTGTTATCTAGGAGTGACATGTCACAGGATGAAGCCGCCAAGGTTCGTTTTGAGGTCACTAAGGCTCTTCAAACTTTCAAACCTTCAAGCGACAATCTCACGGTCGAGGAAAGGCGCGCCCTACATGATCTTCAAAAAAGGGAGGATATTATGATCTTACCGAGTGACAAGGGGAAGTCAGTTTGTGTTATGACTACAGAGCAGTATAGAGATAAGGTAAACGACCTGCTATCTGATACGGATACTTATGAACCGCTGCAGAAGGACCCCACCCCTGTGTTCACTCGTAAAGTCAGGGAGACTCTAAAGTCTGTAGAAAACAAGGGTAATGTGTCAAGAAGTCAATATTTACAGCTGTACCCTTCTGACCCCTTGCCTCCACTGTTCTATGGTTTGCCTAAGGTTCATAAGCCGGGAGTGCCGTTGAGACCGATCGTGTCAACGATTGGATCAGTTACCTACTCGTTAGCTAAGCACCTGGCCCGTCTCCTAGCCCCGCTAGTAGGTAACACTTCTTCACATATCAGGAACTCGAGTGATTTTGCTGACTTTGTGCAAACTTTGAAGTTCGAAGAGGAGGAGGAGATGGTATCCTTTGATGTGACATCCCTATTTACCTCTGTTCCCACGGACGTAGCGTGCGACGTAGCCAAGAGACGGCTGGAAGAGGATAAAAACAAGGGGCATGACAGTATTCTGGCTAGGACCGGGATGGATGTAGAGGACATTCTGCTGCTGCTGCGCCTGTGCCTGGACACCACCTATTTCCAGGTGAATGGCAACTTTTACAAACAGAACAAAGGGACGGCGATGGGGAGCCCTGTCAGTGTAGTGGTGGCGAATTTGTTTATGGAAGAGGTAGAGCAGAGAGCCCTCGAGTCGTTCCTACATCCGGTCACTGTTTGGAAGCGGTACGTGGATGACACTTCTGTTGTCGTGGGAAGGGACCTTGTGGACAGTCTCCACGAGCACCTGAACAGACAGGTAACTGGCATTCAGTTTACTGTAGAAAGGGAAAACGAGCAAAGCCTGCCTTTTTTGGATGTGATGGTAAGTAGGATGGATGACGGCTCAGTCAAAACTACAGTACACCGGAAAGCGACCCATACGGACAGCTATCTAAATTTCGACTCGCATCACAGCGCTCAACATAAAGAATCAGTGGTTCGGTCCTTGGTAAGGAGGGAGGAGCAGCTGATAACCAACGACTCGGATAGAGTAGTAGAGGCTGACCATGTCAACAGGGTGCTCAGGGCCAACAACTACCCTAAGCGGTTCATACAGGCGACCCGCAGGAAAGTTAGGAACAGGGAGGCCAGGCCCAGGGATCAGCGTGATGACAAACCTCTTGTTGTCATACCTTACGTTAAAGGGGTAACGGAGAAGGTGACCCGTGCGCTGAAGCCGTACGCCCGAGTGGCTACCAAACCAGACCGAAACTTAAGAGGTATCTTGGTGAAACCGAAAGATAGACGGGGTCCACATCAGAATGCCGGTCTCGTGTACCAGTATGAGTGCGAGTGTGACCAGGTGTATATCGGGGAAACGGGAAGAAGCATTAAAACTAGGGAAAAAGAACACAAACGGGCTATTAGAAACATGGACGAAAATCATTCCGGTATTTCAAAACACGTCATAGAGACGGGACATCATCGCGTGGGAGGGGGTCAAAATCCTGGCTTTTGAGAGGGAGTGGAAAAAACGGAAGATAAAAGAGGGTATTTTCATTGACAAGGCGAGGGGGCGTGCGCTAAACACAAAACCAGGTGTTCCAGTCGCAAATGTCTACCGTGTGTTAGACTGAAATGTGTGGTATTTTGTCATGTGCGTGTATTGTTATTGTGTGACGTGCTTGATGGTAGCGCGATCGAAAAGAAACAGCGAGAATTTTTTTCAAAAAATATCCAGATGCGCCATTTTCGCTTTTTGTGGTGTCTAATGTAACTGTTTAATTTTATATGGATCTGTTTTAGTGTTTTGTACCAAGGCTGACGAAGAAAGCTGCATAGCTTTCGAAAGCTCCCATTAAATAAAGTAATAGCTGGTGTTCAATTATGTCTTTTTGTCAATTATGCCCTTTTGTTGTTGACTCTTTTGGAAGAGTCAGACGTGTTTTGGTAAAGCTCCTGATTTATGCTTATTTTAGCGTAATCGGATCATGTCATACCCTGAAATGTATATGGATACATTCCTAATTTAACGCAGAACAGTCGTATTATAAATTGTAAAAAGAGATATAGCAAGAACGAAGCATATATCATCAGGCAAATATTGGATATTTTTGACCTAGAAACCAATATTTCGGTAAGTCACCATCGTCAAAAAGCTCTTGATTTTTATCGCCAATCACGTGCTGGATTTGACGACAGATCTCGAAATTGAGACATTGCATAATGCCAAGTAAACGCCGAAGGAGAGTTCGATCAGATGTTTCACCAACTATGGCTGTATCGGAAGAATCTAAGAATGAAGAAGGAAACAGAAAAGAACCAGATTTACACGAAAGTGATACTCCGGATGGAAAAAACAAAAGCAAAGATTCATATATTGAGGAAGAAGTGATCAATGGACAGGCGGATGCCTGCTACGAAACTGCAGAAGAAACGGGAGAGGCTGATCGGCGTAAAGAGAGCAGCTTGACAGAAAAACACAATATGATCGTGAAAGATAAGAAGGTCACGGTCATAAAGAGGAAAACGAAGACAGACTTAGAAACGCAAGTGAATCAGCTCTTGGAAGAAAATGCTTCTCTGAGGCGTCAACTTGCTGAGCTCTACGAGGAACGGCGTACCCCAGCAGATCACAGCAGGGAAGGAAACGCGATGTCGGCATCAGATCACGGCAAGGGAGGAAATGCTCAGTCGGAGGGGCACGGTCTCTGCGGCTCTTGTGCGACCTACCTTCTGGAGCTGTCAAGGCAAACCACAGGTCAGGTCAGTGAGGTCAGTCAGAGAATTGGCCTCGTCGACCACTCTACGACCCAGCCTACACGTGGGATCGACGAAATCGGTGATACAAACAGCAGATTCTTCATGACATTGGATGAAACTGAGACCGTACCGAAGGGGAGAGCAAGCGGAGTTGACACCGTGCCGAAGAGGATAGAAGAGGAGTCGACTGGGTGGACGACGGTGAAAGGAACGAGATCCCATCCCGTGACCGAAGGAAAGCATATCCCAGTCCACACCTCAAACAGGTATGAAGTGCTGGCAGATGCCGAGAAGGACGAGGTGAGGTACCTGGTTGTGGGAGGCTCCAGGGTGAGGCCTCTAAAAAAGGCGTTTTGTAAAAAAGAGGACAGGTGCGTGGTCGTTCCGGGAGCATCTGTTTCGGACGTAGACGCTACAGTTCAGGAGGAGCTGAGCAAGTGCGATCCTGATGTCGTAATAGTTCAGGTCGGTGTGAACGATATAGGTCCGAGGCGCAGTGTCAAACTTATCCAGGATTACCGTGCTTTGCTGCGAAGCTTAAGGGAGGCGAGAAAACCGGTGGTCGTAACTGGTATTCTTCCCCGTATGTCTGCCTCCAGAGAATGGTACTCACGTGCCTTAGCTGCAAATGTCTCAGTTGAGAAGCTCTGCTCAAACATGGGCTTCAAATTTGTCGACTTGTGGGAGGAGTTTTATGGACAAGGGACCTACTACCTGGGAGATGGTTTACATTTCTCAGACAGGGGAGCCTCAGTTTTGGCTGAGGCGTACACCAATGTACTTTCGGGAAACTAGCCGTGTTGGGGGGTCATGAGTGTCAGTTGGTAAGTAATCGAGGAGATAGTATGACTCAGCATCTCCCTAGGGACTCGAAGTTCTGTGATAGTGCTGGTACTCAATGTAATCTTAAAGCTAGACACAATGTCAAATGTGTTATGCTCAACGCACAGAGCATACGCTCGAAATTTGACGAATTTAAATGTTACTTAGCTGTAAACACGCCAGATATTGTTTGCGTTACAG